AGTCTGTGATTTGAGTGTATTGATAGATGTCCCTTTTTATTACTGAGTAGTATTCCATCTGCTGCTGATTGATTGAATTGTGTTCTCCAAAGTGCATACATTAGAAACTTAATTCCCACTGTAACTGTTGAGGGGGGAACCCCTGTTATGGTAATTGAAAGGTGGGGCCTCGAAGAAGTGATTAAATTCTAGGACCAAGCAGTAGTGAATGGATTAATAATGGTGGCCATGGACGTGGTCCTGACGGCTTTAAAAGAGCACATGAGAGTCTTTCTCTCTCTCTCTGCTCTGCCATTTTCTGCCACCCCTGAATTGCTGTAAAGCCACCACCAAGGAAGACCCTCACCAGATGTGTTCCCTGAACTTTGGACTTCTCAGCCTCCAAAACTGTAAGCAATAAATTTTTTTTTTTTCTTACAGATTACCCAGTTCCTGGTACTTTGTTATAACCAACAGAAATGGACTAATACAGAAAATTGGTCCCAGAGATGTGGGGTGTTCTTCATAACAAATAATTGAAAATGTGGAAGTGGCTTTAGAACTGGGTATTGAGGAGAGGCTGGAAGAATTTGGAGGAACAGACAAGGAAAAGCCTAGATGCTGGTGAAGATTTATAAGACAAGAAAATCAGGGAAAGTTTAGAATGTTTTAGAGACTGGTTAGATGGTGGTAACCAGAACGCTGATAGAAATATCAACAGTAAAGACCATTCTGAGAAGATCTTGGATGTAAAAAAGAAGGGACTTATTGGAAACTGGGGCAAAGATCATCCTTGCTATGAACTGTCAAGGAACGGGGCTGCATTCTGCTCATGCCCAAGGGTTTTATGGAATGTGGAACTTCAAGGTGCTGACCCAGTGTATTTGGCAGAAGAGATTTCTAAGCAGCAAAGCATTAAGGAAGCTACATGGCTACCTGCAATAGCCTATGCTGAGTTATGGCAGAAAAAGCATGACATATAGCCAGAATGTATGATTAAAAGAGAAGCAGAGCATAAAGATTTGGAAAATTTGCAGCCTGGCCATGTGGTAGAGAAGCAGAGAGCATTTCCAGGAGAAAAATGCAATTTTGCTAAGAGAATTAGTACAAGAAAGGGATTATCAAGAGAAGTGGGAGAAAGGCCCTTAAAGGCATTGCAGAAGCCTCTGGGGCCAACCCTTCCATCACAGACTCAGAGGCCTAGGGAGACAGAATGGTCTCCGGACACAGGCATGAGGTGCCCTCCATGGGCTCACTGCCCAGGACCACCTTGAAATGCTGGACTTGCACCAGCACTCTGGTTGCTTTGGCTGCTCCAGCTGTGGCAAAATTGACCCCAGGTGTGGCTGTACCCACAGCTTTGGAAAATACAAGCTGGAAGCCTTGGCAGCATCCACGCAGTGTTAGGTCTTCAGGCTCACAGAATGCTAGAGCCATGGAGGCTTGGGACCCTCCACCTTGATTTCAAAGGATGTATGGAAAAGCCTGGGGACTGAAGAGATCTGTCGCAGGGGTGGAGTCACCACAGACAGCCTTCACTAGAGCAATGGTGAGTGGAAATGTGGGGTCAGAGTTGCAGCAGAAAAACCCCAAAGTGCCATGCCTAGTGGAGCCGTGAGAGCGGGACTGCATAGAGACACCGGATTTGTGGAGCTACCAGAGTGGAATGGCCAGCCTGCGAAAGCTGAAGTGTGGCCTGAGACTAGGAAAACCTCAGGAGCAGAGCTGTCCAAGGACTTGGGACCCAATCCCCACACAAGCATGCAGAGGACATTGAAAATGGAGTCAAGGTACATGATTCACCAGCTGTAAGATTTGATGCCTGGCCTGCTGGGTTTTGGACTTGTTTAGGACCTGTTACCCCTTTCTTTTGGCCTATTTCTCTTCTTCAAAATGGGAATATTTAGGGTTGGGCTGTGGCTCACTTGGGAGAGTGTGGTGCCAATAATACCATGGTCACAGGTTCGGATCCCTATATAGGGATGGCTGGTTCACTTGGGAGAGCGTGGTGCTGACAACACCAAGTCAAGGGTTAAGATCCCCTTACGTCATCTTTTTTTTTTTTAAAGGGGACTACTTACCCTATGCTTGTCTCACCAGTGTATCTTGGCAGTAGATCACTTGTTTTGATTTCCCAGATGAGACTTTGGACCTTTTGAGTTGAAACAAGTTAAGACTTTGGGGATGAAATGAGTGTATGAGAAGGACATGAACTTTGGGGGTCAGGGGTGGAATGCAGTGGATTGGTTGAATTGTGTCCCCCAAAGTCCATATTTTAGAAGCTGAATCCTCACTGTAACTTTTGAGTGTGGGAAGTCCTATTATGGTAATTGAAAGGCAGGAGCTTGAAGAGAGTGATTAGTTGTAGGACCGTGCTGTAGTGAATGGGTTAATAATGCTGGTCAGGGACGTGATTCTGAGGGCTTTAAAAGGAGAGCATATAAGTCTCTCTCTGCTCCACCGTTTTCTACCACGTGAGACCCCTGAATTGCCGTAAAGCCACCACCAAAGATGACCCTCACCAGATGTGTTCCCTGGACTTTGGACTTTCCAGCCTCCTAAACTGTAAGCAATAACTTTTTTTTTCCTTATAAATTACTCAGTTCCAGGTATTTTCTTATAAGTGACAGAAACAGGCTAATACACCATTGTAGAGTATACTTTGGTTTGTATTATCTGTCCTCTGGTGATGGATGTTTGGGGAGCGTTTTTATGAGGGTAGAGTCCAGATCGGGATTAAATAAGGGTGGATTCAACATAGCCTTGGAGGAACACTTGCCCCACAATCAGAAGGCAGGAGGGTAGTTGATGGCCACCTCCCTCTGCAGGGTCACATCTCCTCCGCACCACAGTCCTCTATGCAGGCTGTCTACTGAGGCCCCTGCGCTGGCCGATGAAGTCACTAAAATGACACCTCTCACTTGCTGGGCTGGGACCCTAGGACAGGACCTTGTCCACTCCTTCATGCAATTGTTTTGACACCTCCCAGTCCCCCCTACTCTTGTCTCCCCAAAGTCCCACTCCGCTGGAAGCCTTTGCTGATGTGACCTCCTGTGAGCTAGGAGGGTGTGGCAGGTTGGGGTGCTCTGCCCCGCAGGAGGCCGGGTCACTTTTCTCCATACTCTATCTTCTGTCTCTCTTCCTCCCTCTTGTCGTCCACCTCTTCGCAGAAATCTGGGGTCTACCTCGCATCCCCTTACTTCCTAGAGCTGCATTCTCTCAGCGGCCCCCCACCCCCCAGCAGGTAGGGGCTTTCCTGGGATCTGGTAAAAACCTTCGGGTATGAGAGAGGTGGATACCCCCAGGGACCCTGGGCGGCCTGGCCTTCTCAGTCGCGAAGGCGAGGACAGCGACCAAGGACACCGAACGGCGGGATTGGTCGGTGGTCCAGAGAGGCACGGTGGTCCCGCCCTCTGGTTGCCAGGGCCCAGCCTATCCTCGGCCAGGAGGGCCTTGGTCGCCAGGTGTCTGGGGTGGGGGTCGAGCAGGTGAGCGTGTTGGCAGTGGGGGGACGGTGGGGGACCCCATAGGATCTCCCCCAGTCCCTCCCGTTGGGTCTCTGGGGTCCTCGGGCTCCCCCGCGGAGACCCGCCTCCTCTAGACCGCGGAGAAGCCGCCCCGCCCCCCAACGCGCGCCTCCTATGCCCCCTCGGCGCGCTCCCGCCCGCCGCGCTCCCGGGTCTGCAGCGCGCG